ATCTATCATCTATCTATCATCTATCTATCTATCTATCTATCTATCTATCTATCTATCTATCTATCATCTATCTATCTCTATCTATCTATCATCTATCTGTCATCTATCTATCTATATCATCTATCTATCTATCATCATCATCATCTATCATTTATCTATCTATCTATCATCTATCTATCTATCTATCTATCTATCATCTATCTATCATCTATCTATCTATCTATCTATCTATATCTATCTATCATCTATCTATCATCTATCTATCATCTATCTATCTATCTATCTATCTATCATCTATCTATCTATATCTATCTATCTATCTATCTATCTATCTATCTATCTATCTATCATCTATCTATATCTATCTATCTATCTATCTATCTATCTATATCTATCTATCTATCTATCTATCTATCTCTATCATCTTTTATTTCTCGTTTAAGACTATTTTGTTATGTTTGTAGTTAGGTATTTTTTCATGTTTTAAGTCGACTTGAGAAGGGTTTTAACCATGGAAAGGCAGCATACAGATACTATTATTTAAATAGGTTATGCAATGTTACATCAAGTAATTATTCTCCCACAATTTCAAGTACATTTGCCCCCACTGTTTTCCTATTCCACAGGTCTTAGAATCCCTCAAGCATTCTTGAGATTCCTTGTCTAATTAACTTATAGATACTTCTGCATGCAAAACCCACCCTTTCTATTTTGTTACCAAATGGAACCATCAAGTTTGATACTGTTAGAAAGAATGGCAGAAGCAGTTGACAGAGTGGGGGCATTTGCCTGACCTCCCATCACTGGTATTGCTGCAGATTACGGGGTGGGAGAAGGGCAAGGCATGGCACAAATACACCAGTCTGAGCCCTGGATTGGCTGTGCCAATGTGTTTGCTCCATGCCAACTTCACCATCACCTCACCCATAACCCTCTTTCTCCAACAATACCATTGATTTGGGGCTAGGTAAGGGCCACTGCCCACTACTGAGGAATGCTGGTGACCTGCAGGTTTCAAACTTCCAAAGGAAGTCTGAGAAAGTTCCCCATCAATTACGGAACAATGTAATAATTCACCAGCATCTTATCCAGCAGTCGTCAAATCCAGTTCATGATCTATGTGTCATAACCAAGATGTCTTAAAACTGTTTAATTTTCTCTCGAGGGAAATGGTTTGGAGAGCTTTCAGCCATTCATCTCCCCTAATTTCAGGGCAGTCAGATATTATTATGTTCCTTTGGGTCATATGAGCTATTGCTGTGTCAAAGGTTTTAAGACAATGCTGTGTAAATTAATGCAGGTTTAACCAGCAGGGCTGCTGGCGTACAAATTAAACCCGGTATTCAGTAGAATGTGCCTAGACTGAACAACACATTAAATTAATCTTTTGTGGGGCCATTTTGATTTAAAGATGTGAGACAACCTGGGAAGTAACTTTCATGCATTATTAGTAGATTTTGAATGAGCTTGAAGTTTTCATCCCAAACAAAGAAGCCGAGTCCTGAAATGATGTAAATTATATTGCACCACCATATGATTTGTGGGTTTTAAGAAATGATTAGTAAAGTAACATAGGACTGTTGTGCACCCCCCTTTCCTCCAATTCTCTAGAGTGATTTGGGATGTGGGGCGGGTGAGGTGAAGGGAAGGATATCCTGTTAGACAGGCAAAAGCCCTTGTGCTAATTGGACTGATTCATTAGATACAACCCTGTGTACAAAGAAAGTTATATATGCTTGGGGGAAGGAGAGAGTTAGGGTCAATGGAAGAATGGTGACTTTCTAATGCACTGATTCCACTTCAGAAAATGAGACTTGGTAATTCATAACTCTCAAATCTAGGGTGAATTAAAATTCTGGAAGTATCTCTAATATGACCAAATAGAGTAACTTTAGAGCAACCAGTGACTGCCGATTCACACATTACACAGCAGAAAATGAGTGTTGTTGTTGTTGTTTAGTCATTTAGTCGTGTTCAACTCTTCGTGACCCCATGGACCAGAGCACGCCACGCACTCCTGTCTTCCACTGCCTCCCACAGTTTGGTCAAACTCATGTTGGTAGCTTCGAGAACACTGTCCATCCATCTCGTCCTCTGTTGTCCCCTTCTCCTTGTGCCAGTGTGGTGTAATGGTTAAGAGTGGTGGACTCGTTTGATTCCCCGCTCCTCCACATGCAGCCGCTGGGTGACCTTGGGCTAGTCACACTTCTCTGAGGTCTCTCAGCCTCACTCACCTCACAGAGTGTTTGTTTTTTTGGGGGGCAAGGAAAGGAGAATGTTAGCCACTTTGAGACTCCTTCGGGTAGTGATAAAGCGGGATATCAAATCCAAACACCTCCCTCCATCTTTCCCAACATCAGGGTCTTTTCCTGGGAGCCTTCTCTTCTCATGAGGTGGCCAAATATTGGAGCCTCAGCTTCAGGATCTGTCCTTCCAGTGAGCACTCAGGGCTGATTTCCTTCAGAATGGAGAGGTTTGATCTTCTTGCAGTCCATGGGACTCTCAAGAGTCTCTTCCAGCACCATAATTCAAAAGCATCAATTCTTTGGCGATCAGCCTTCTTTATGGTCCAGCTCTCACTTCCATACATCACTACTGGGAAAACCATAGCTTTAACTATACGGACCTTTGTTGGCAAGGTGATGTACCTGCCATCATTAGTATTTGTTAAGCTCTCTTGTTGTTTGAGTAGTTGAGCAGCATATCAGATATGCTCAAATACCTACCCATAACTCCTTTGGCTCAGGCATACAACGTCACTATTTGCCTGCAGCAAATTCATATATTGCACACATATCAATGTCAAGACGCCGGGTTTGGCTCATGGGTGCGTATGAGGCACACATTTTTTTGCAGGCAAAATTTGCTTGTATGCCTACACGTTTTAAAAAAATACACCAGCCCTTGGTTTTGAGTGGAGGTTTAGATATATCCATTGTGCTATGCATTGCACAAGCTACACATTGTAATAAAAACATAATAGTGCCACCAGCAGGAAAATGCTAAGGAGCCGGCAGAAAGATGGAGTGTATATAATCTCGGATAATCAAGTCTCATTCAGCTACTATTGCCAAGGTGTGCAATGGTGGGGAGAGCTATGTTTTCCTGGTGGTCCCCTGGCTCCTCCCTTCCCATCTACCCATGCCCTTTTGTACTGTAAGTTTGAAGGCGATATGCTTGCTCCGTTTGAATTCCAATCAATTTCAATTCCATTGTACCAGACAATATGGGTTACTAATGATTAGTCAATTAACCTCAAAGCGCCAAAGTAAAAGGTGAATGCCTGAGTAATGTAATAGCATAATTGCATTTTGATCCTGCGGAGTAAAAGGTTGCATGCAGATGTACTGCATCAAAGTAAAAAGAAGCTCCAGCAAAGAACATATTTTAAAAGTGTTTCTTCCCATTCCCCTCCCCCCCAGCAGTGGTTTGCGCTCTGAAAAATGAGGGTGATGGATAGAGGTGGGGCAAGTGGAAATGAATTGTGTCTCCTCTTGCCCTAATTGTAGATAGGAGCCCTACAAAGCTAAGATGATGGGTCTCTTCCTTTTGGGAGACAAGCATGCTGTCAATCTACACCCTTGTGCAAATTAATTGAAACAAAGCATGTTTTCTATCTTACTTGTAATCCCATGCTCAAAACAAACATGAAAAGTCAGTTGATCATTATGGTGTCGGAAGCACACAACACTGTGCAAATTCAGCATGGGTACGGAGTGTGCTTTTGAGGAGGAATTGGAACCAAAACACTTCTAGATGCTAAATGTTCCCAATAGCAGGTTGCTGGAGATAGTTTAGAAATGGTTTTAGCACTTTGAGGCATGTGCTATTCGAGATGGTTTGGTTTTCATTTCTATCAGAGACGATTTACGCCTTGCTCCAATGCAGGATATGGAAGCAAGCTTCTGTGTAAATTCAGTGTTGTTGTGTATGCCTCTCTGAATGGTATTTGGTCCGATTAGCAGTGGCGCAACTGAATTGCATGTCTGTACCTTTGTTCCTGATGAGGAAGTACTCTCCTTTATCCAGAACTACCAGCTCTTGCATTGAACTAATTAGATGAGACTAGTGCTGTTCACGTCTAACTAGCGAGGACTGAAAAATTGTACATAACTCCTTTGTCCAAACACACAAAACATAACCGGCTGTGCATTTACATAAACAATTTTCTTCTGTATTGTCAAATACTTCTCTTGCACATAATCAACACATAAAGTACAACAATGTAAACAGAAGTCCCAATAGATCAGTTCATTCATAGAGTCCAAATATCTGTTAGTTTCTGTTCCACGTATGTCTTTGTATGTTCATAAAATCCAAATGGGAGCTTGCTACAGTTCCACAGAATCTTGACAAGGATTTCCGGAATAATGCCTTGTTTCGCCCTTCTGGGCTTCATCAGTTGTACATGTTCTAAATAATATAAATGAATATAATATTGTATTTCAACATATTTTAACAAATAAGAATAATTCCTTTCCTAATTACCTAATAAATACACTTTAGTTAGCACAGTCTACAAGGTGCTCCATAAGAATACAGACTATTTTTAAAATAAAAAAATCTTATTTATTAATTTTTCACAAAAAAGAAAACTTTACAAATTTTAACATAAACCATAAGTTACTTTGTCTATTGACTTCCATGGTTTCCATATTTACCTTTAAATGCTGCATATTTCACCTATACAACCATTTAAACCTATTTCTCTTAATAATTCATGCTGTTGTTCACATTTCAAGTCCTGCTCATGTAAGAATACAGACTTTTTAATAGAATCTGCTTTATGGCTCAGTCAGTAGAGCAGGAGACTATTAATCTCAAGTGTGTGGGTTTGAATCTCACATTGGGCAAAGGATTTCTGCATTGCTGAGAGTGGGATTAGATGACCCTCATGGTCCTTTCCAATTTGTTATATTCTATATTCTATCCGTAGAAGGTCCATATAGTAAAAGCTATGGTTTTCCCAGTAGTGATGTATGGAAGTGAGAGCTGGACCATAAAGAAGGCTGATCGCCAAAGAATTGATGCTTTTGAATTATGGTGCTGGAGGAGACTCTTGAGAGTCCCATGGACTGCAAGAAGATCAAACCTATCCATTCTGAAGGAAATCAGCCCTGAGTGCTCACTGGAAGGACAGATCCTGAAGCTGAGGCTCCAATACTTTGGCCACCTCATGAGAAGAGAAGACTCCCTGGAAAAGACCCTGATGTTGGGAAAGATGGAGGGCACAAGGAGAAGGGGATGACAGAGGACGAGATGGTTGGACAGTGTTCTCGAAGCTACCAGTATGAGTATGACCAAACTGCGGGAGGCAGTGGAAGACAGGAGTGCCTGGCGTGCTCTGGTCCATGGGGTCACGAAGAGTCGGACACGACTAAACGACTTAACAACAACAACATATTCTATCCCTTCCAACAACATGTTGTTCTATGATCTATTATTTATTACAATTTCTTAGTATTTTATTGGATTGGATCTAGAATGCATTTGCCTTGGAGTAGAAACAGCTATTAAATATTTCCCAGGTATGTATGCACTGGAATTTCAAAATGTTGCTCCAGTTTCCCCTCTCACTGGAGATCTGGAAGCTTTAGTATTTCCAGCATAGCATATTAACAAATACGCAACAGTGGCATTCAAGTGACCAAGGGCTGCATGGCCTTATTGAGGAGTAAACCCTGTCAAACACAGTAGTCAGACTTACTGCTAAGTAAACGTGTCCAGAACAAATGTTTATCAGATTGTTTGAACTTTGTACTCTTAAACATCGCTTCATTTTGCTGTGGTCACTAAGAAAACAGCCGTGTTCAGTTATAGATCTAGGCCAACATTTTGCAAGGAATTTCAAACATACACAAAACGTTTTAAGAACGTTGCATGAAGCTGTGGGTTTGGCTCCTGATCTTTCTAGCTCTCCTCCCTTCGCCCACCTGTATGAACTAAACAGCAAATTGTTTCATTTAGTGTTAACAGAGCCAAACTTTTTCAAAAGAGAATTTTCAGGGAGCGAAAGGAATCCAGTGAATTCCCATTTTGCCCTCCTGGACAATTCTGCCCCTGCCTTGAGGTTTTTTTTTACAAAATTGCTACCCTCCCATTTCGACTGCTACGAAATCATGTGACATTTGCTCAGCCATATAAAATAAATCATCACTGGACAGGCCATTAAAATATTTACAGATATGTGTGTTGCATAATCCCCCCTTCACTCTCGCAAACATTTTTAGAAGAAGAAGAAGAAGAGTTTGGATTTGATATCCCGCCTTTCACTCCCTTTAAGGAGTCTAGTTCAGACACACACACACACACACACACACACACACACACTTCACACCCAGAGTCTAACACACCAGTATTAGGTTGCTTTTGCCAGCTCTCTTCTGTTAATACCCTTTCTTACCAACAATATAAATATCCAACTGTCCCTAGGCCTTGTATTGCGTGTCGAGGTCCCCAAGCCACCCCCCAAATAACTCACAACGCACACTTAATTTTTGTTTAAGGTTTTTGGCATAATTTTGGCCACAACTTTATTTAAATACAAAACCGTGAGTGGTTGTTTAGGCATTGGTTAAGACTATCTGTCCCCCGCCTGGGGACAGAACTGACTTCCGGGCACCACCGAAAGACAGTGCGGGGAAAGCAAGTCGGAGAGAAATGGAGCTGGGTCACAGACCCTCAATTCTCATCCGCATGCTCCCCGAAGGCTTGCCGGCCCTAGTCCCATTCCAGGGATTGGACGAAAAGATGGCAAGCCCCAGGATTCCTTTAACGGAATTCCCTTTCCGCAGCAACCATGGAGGGGCAGGCCCAGCCTATCCTAACCCCTCCTCCACCAATTTATAACCAATGCCTAACCACAACCTTACAAGTTGTGACGATTTGCTACGCAGTAGGCAAAAACCAAATGGCCCAGCCAATCAGCCAGATGGACAAAATTCCTACCAGGCCCCTGCCCCAACGGCAGACGACCCCATGACAGGCATAGCAAGGTCAATGCAACAACCCCTTACTCAAGGGCGGGTGGGCGGGTGATCCGTTGCACGCAGCAAAGAGAAAGCTCCAGGCTGCGTGCAGAGTATTTAAACATTTTACCCCTCCCACCAAAATTGCAACATAACTTTTACCCCAGCAACCCAGTGAACCAATCACTGCCCCAGGCCATCTTTAGAGACCCTGCCTGGTAACAGAGGGGTGGCTCAGCAGACCCCACCGCAACACGTGCTCTCCATGAAGGAGAACACGCTTTGCGTGTCGAGGTCCCCAAGCCACCCCCCAAATAACTCACAACGCACACTTAATTTTTGTTTAAGGTTTTTGGCATAATTTTGGCCACAACTTTATTTAAATACAAAACCGTGAGTGGTTGTTTAGGCATTGGTTAAGACTATCTGTCCCCCGCCTGGGGACAGAACTGACTTCCGGGCACCACCGAAAGACAGTGCGGGGAAAGCAAGTCGGAGAGAAATGGAGCTGGGTCACAGACCCTCAATTCTCATCCGCATGCTCCCCGAAGGCTTGCCGGCCCTAGTCCCATTCCAGGGATTGGACAAAAAGATGGCAAGCCCCAGGATTCCTTTAACGGAACTCCCTTTCCGCAGCAACCATGGAGAGGCAGGCCCAGCCTATCCTAACCCCTCCTCCACCAATTTATAACCAATGCCTAACCGCCAATCGAGCCCTTTACGCTCGCCGCCAACCACTCACAATCCCAACCCAACCTTCAACCTTGCAGTTACCGCATCCAACCAAACATCATTCCCCAGTACAGAGAGATGTACTCCATCATTGCGGTAAAGGGCCAGAGCCTTGAAGGTAATATCCGGGCGGGAAATAACCAATCCACCCAAATCCGCCACCTTCTTACACACTGCAGAATTAATGCGCTTCCTGGCCCTTTCAGCAGCCTCAGGTCGAGAAATGCCGTGCCAATTGCGCCTTTGCAGCAATTGTGACCAAAATATTTTAACTGTGGGTATTAAGGTCACCAATTCACCCAAGTCTCTCTGAATCGTGGAGCGCAAAGTAAAGCAATCATAAGTTGCCACATCGTTCCCCCCCAGCTGAACCACAATTGCCATGGGGGGGGGCCATCCGAAAGCACCCTCTGCTTAATTAGCGGGATGAATTCGCTCCACTGCATTCTGCGCCTGGACATCCACAACACCTGCACATGCTGCGGGAGGCCAAGACCCAGTCCCCTTCCAGACTGCCTAGCTCTGATGCCAGCCCAGTAAACGATGCTGTGCCCCACAATCCAGATGCGGACTGGAGCTAGAAACATGGGCAGGAAGGCCGAGATGGCGCCCCCAGTCCAGACTCGTCAGGGTGCTTGCCAGCTCAGTGCATGATGCTGTGGCCGACAATCCAAATGCGCACAGCTGCTCCTATGAAAAAGGAATAACAGACAGGCATCAGCACAGGCATCATTGGCGATGCTTCCTGACATAACCTTTGTCAGCGTCAGACTTCCAATGACCCGTATTCACAATCCTGTCTACTAACAGGCCCCAATGCGCAGCCTTTGCAGCAGCACCTATTTGGAAGGAATGAGGCGTGTTCAGCGGTAGGCAAGCCGCAGGCTGCAATAACTGGCGCACGACGTGAGCAATTAGATGCCTGTCGAACCGGAACCCATTTCTGTGCACTAGGATCGAGCCAGCCCCCAGGGGAACGAAAAGCCAAATATTTCCGGTATCCAATAACAGGGCAAGGGCCCACCTCACCTGTGACTGGAAGCCTGATGGTGGCAACCCTGCTCACTAGGTCTGACTTAGAGCTCCAGACACTTATGACAAGCTCCAAAGCAGATAAGGAAAAGTCCTGAGGCAATAAGCCTCCAAACTCTCAGCCCCGTGCTGGCTCCAACACAATTTCCCCAACCCTCAGTACACCAAAATTACAATGGAATACTGAAATAAGTCTCGTCTTGATCTTGAACCAGCCAACAAGTCTCAACTTGTTGCAGATACTGCATAGGTCAAAGATTGACCGGCTTCCTGCCTGCTGTCCTGTGAAGGTCAGAGCCTATTCCAACCTTCCAAGACCCTGTGCATGACACACTTTTAGAAGGGTCTCTGAAAATTAAAGCTTTACTCTAGCAGACATTGCAGCGGACTGAATTCTGATAGTTTTAACACTGCATCCTATCTGCAGCAGGTGGGCGAATTACTGCAGGTCCTGCTCAGAGGATGGGGGCAGGTTCCTCTGAATGGCCGAGGACTACCAGCTAAATTTTAAGAAATCAGTCCAGGCCTTCTCATAAGACCTGAAAGCAGATGGGGAAACGTAAGCTACTATTCCTCATAATTATTAATTGTTGCCAAGTGCCACAGGAGCTCCAGAAAATTAGCTGGGTGTCCAGAGCCCAGGATCTGAAGCTCTCCAACTGAAAAAACGGGATAGAGCCACAGCAAAAACATTAGATGATCCCGAAATAAAGTGAGCAGAAACGCAATATTAAACCTTAAGCAGTGCGAAGACTCTGCCAGAGCATGAAGACCGTTTTGCCAGGACTCTCACACTGCCTGGTTATCAGACCAAGACAGACCTGACGGTCCCTAAACTCCTCAGTCCAGATGTGCGCTGACACTACAATGAGGAAAACTCAAGAAAGTTAGGTTACATGTGATTGCCTTGCCCTGCCAGGCTCAAGGCCACTGTACATGATGATGAAGGGACCCCGGGCCATGAGACCACCTGACCAAGCAGGAATGGAAGGGGCAGCCTGGAGCAACCACCCTGCATGCAAAATTTAACTGACCTAGGAATGATAGGATCTGACAAAGCAACACTTGCTTCATAGGAAGTATTACAAGAATGACATCCTTCAAGGCAAACAGCTTTTCCAC